TGCCTGTCTCTTCAACTGGGAAATCTTTAGGGCGACGGCCCCTTTGTCGTTCTCTCCACCCAATGTAAGCAGCTCTCCAAGACTAGCCACTTGATCCATCAGATGCTTCTCGGACACTTCAACATACATCTCTGCCAAGTTGTTTACCATGTACGATAGCTTGTTGGCTTCAGATGCTTGGACATAGATCATGTCCCTCATCATGTCCGACATCGTGTACTCAAGACGAAACTCTGCCCCTCGCTCGGCGCCCTGGACGAACTTCTTCACATTTTCATCCATGGAGCATTTGATGATGTTTGAAATTGTTGTGAAAAATCTCACCAACTTTCCCCATTGTGTTCGAAACTGTCCAAGAGCGTTGATACCTCTCTGCAACAGCTGTTTTATTTCATCAAAGTTGACCTTGTCAAGGTAAATGTGTGCAAGCTCTTCAATGACTGACGTCACATGGGCATTGGTTTCCTGTAATGATTTGCTTTTGCTCTTGAAGTCCTCTCCGATTGATTCAAGACAAGAGGCAGTTTGTTCAACCTTGATTCTACACTGTTCACTATATCTTGCTGTAGCTGAACTGGAACTATCCTGCTCTTTTGTTGACAATATGGGTGTTGGTGTTTGCAGCGACTGTCCAAATGCATGTGTACAGAATGTCTCCAGTGCTTTCATTCTTCCTTCCAGCCTTCCTGCTACAAGCTTCGCATCTCTTTTTGTGATTGTTCCTTGGCAAGCTGTTTACCAGCAGTCTTCATTATCCTGATGAGTTGATAACCGTCATCTACATTGTCGTTCACTTTCTGCTTACAGACTCCTGAGTAGGACTTCAAAGCCTGAACAATATCCTGAAATGTTGCCTCGACCATCATGAGATGATACACTTCCGTTCCCTGCATAATCTGATCGAAATCTGTTATGAGGGTCTTCACACAAAGCGATAGTTGTGGGAGTTTCATCATCAGAAGAGCTTCCTTGTCTTCTTCTTTCTGTACCTGCTTGCCCTTGGAGGATTCCTTAATGCGATTCATGTTGTCTCAGAGAGACCCGGGGTTTCTAGTAGAAAATCAGGCGTTCAAGAGCATCAAGTTTCCTGGTAGACTGAAGCGTATACTAAAATTTAGTCACTCCTTAATCCATATTCAATGTCAAAATAATTACCTTGACAGCATTCTTGATGTGTTGAGGAATCTGCAGTGTCAGCAGCCGTACTTGATCTATGTTTTTGTTGGCCAGGTTGAAAGCATTCCATCCCTCATCGGCAACTTGAAGGATGCTGGTCAGCAGAGACTCCAGGTACTCGGTGTGTTTGAAGTGATCCCTAGTCATGTGTTCTGACACAAGAGACACGTCGTTGTCCAGTGTGACGAGGACCAGTTGCCTCAGGAGACACACCGAGAGAGGGGCGGGGCACAGCATCTCCTGCCAGTTCATGTGAGGCCCGAGGACCAACATCATGTCCTCCTGAAATCAGCAACAGTTGAATATGACATTAGGCGTTTTTCTACATGACTTGGTGAAGCCTTGTGTGGATTCTCGGATGGAATTTGTCCCCAGCATCTTACGCTGCTCGAAGTAGGCCACTCAATGAATCGGGGGCTCTGACATGGTCACAGTGAAGTAACCATTTGTCTTGACTTGAATACAGATCAGATTGAACCAATGTATGACTTGTGTTATCTTAACAAAAACGGTCTGGGTCGTTCCTCATGCAATACTTGGGCAAGGCTCCATTATTTACAGGACATGGTACTCTGAGTATGCTTTATGTTAAAAAGAGCCGAAAAAATGCTAAAACCCACTCTCTCCATTAACACAATACAGCTACTTCTCCAACCCCTCTACTCAATCAAGTACCGCCTAACGTGTCCAAGTACACCTACCTCCCCAGATACGACTACTTAGCTCTTAATTACAGTTACCTCCCTAAATGTACTAAATCCAAATAATACTATCTCTTCAATACAAACTACCCCGCCTCCCCAATACCACTTCCTTCCCAATATCACCCATTCCCAAATGCCAGCATCTCCCAATACATTCCAAGTCTGGCAACTCATCAATACCACCACCTCCACAAAACCAGGACCTCCCCAATACACCTCCTCCCAAACACCATGACCTCCCTAATAACATAAGATCTCAATACTACCAAAATATCACTACCTCCCAAATACGGATACCTCCCAATACCAATACCTCCCCAAACCCGCTAACTTCTTATAATGCCACCTCCCAAATGCCACTGCTTAACAATACCGCCACCTCCCAAATACTACCATCTCCCCAACATCTCTATTTCCCAGCATGTCACTCCCTCACGACCTCACCACTACGTCCCTAATGTCTTCAACGATTTCCCCCAAACCACCACCTCCCGATTAACACTACCTCCCCAATACTAATACCCCCTAAATACCACTACCTCCCTATTCCAACACCACCTCCTCCTAATTCCAACACCACTACCTCCCCAATATCAACACATTACCAATATCGCTACCTTTCAAAAAGCATTGACTACTCCCAATAACTCTACCTCCGATCAACAATACCCCTAGCACCACCTCCCCCATGACAGCACCTCAACAATACCCCTACCTCCGAAAAATGTACAAGATAAAGAAAGTAGTTTATGCCGTTATTGTAATGAAGGCTATGTTGAGGATGAGTTTCATGTACTTCTCATTTGTAAATATTATCAGTTTCTTAGAAATAGATACCTCCCTCTGATTTCAACTATGTACAAAGATGAACAACTGATGAGAAATTTGTTGAACTCCTGCAATGCAAATACAATATCATCTCTGTCAATATTCCTGAAGAAGATTTTTGAAATTAGACGGTAATATTTTATGTAAACTTATTATTACCTACACGTGACTGTACAATGTTCATACAAAAAACAAACACTACTGTACTATAGGTCATATGGCCTAAAATATTGAATAAACTTCTGTTCTGTTCTGTTCTGAAAACCACTAGCTCCTCAATACCATCAACTCCCCAATACCATTACCTCCAAATACCACAACCTCCTCACTACTCCTACCTCAAAATACCACTAACTCTACCAAGGACACTACCTCGCAAATACACATTCTTCCAATCGTCTTAGGCTTAAGGAATTTTGAAGTAGACTTTTGAAGTAGACTGATCTGTATTTGTTTTGACCCAGTGAGGATTCCTTGTCAGATAGCTCCCAACAACCAACGGACTTAAGGGATCGGGTAGTCAAGCTTGGTGACTTGGTAGATTTCGTGTCAACCACCCCGACGGGGTGGATCATTGTTCACAATATCACTCACTGGATTGTCTGGTCCAGAGTCAATTATGTACAAGCCACCTCCATACAGCTTGAATATTGCTGAGCGAGAGATATACAACAAACAAAAATCCTGTTTCGTGTTCTTTTGGCATACAGTACCTCAGCATCTTTGGGGCTCATCAGGTCTTTCTCTGCCTTGGCAATCGTCCTCTTGCTGACATCCGCCATGATGTACAGTGTACAGTGACTATGTCGATAAGTCATGTGGTTGCATACATTTGCATACATTTTCCTCCGGCTTTCACATACGGCCGATTTGTGATGTATACATAGTAGTAACATGTGATTAGTTTGAGTAAGCTAAGGAGCCCTACTCCATGCATATTTGTGTGACCTATAATACTGCCTGACATTGAGGCAACTTCAAGCACGTACGAGTACCTGATGTCAGCTTTACATAATATAATATATAGGCTCCGAAATTACTGGAAACATTATTTGGCTTCGTGTTAAAAAGAAAATTCTGATACCTGCATTACTTCGGGTTATCCTCCCTGACGCGTTTTTGCATAACTGACATAACTGTTCATCATTGAACTCGTCGTGGCTCAAAACAACATTCACTCATATGAAGCGACTCAGCTTGAATGGTGCGCTTGTAGAACTCACTTTAATTTTGATCTGATGGTTACTATGTATGATTCGGCTGATATGTTATATCAAATCGTGAAATCACGTTCATCATTTGCCGTCTACTGGCTTCAAAACTAATGCCTATGGTACAGTGCTAGCCCGCTGAGATACCATGCCCCAATTTAACACGAATACCCCACTCAGACACACTGTACAGACTCTGAGCCGACCAGTCCTTGTTTTATCCCCTTAATGCCAAGCGCCAGGAAGGGGCCGGGGATCGAACTCCCGACTTTCCGCTCTCCAGGCTGACGCCCTATCAACTAGCCATCGGTGGTATCGAAGCCATGTGAGACTCGTGTTTTATGCAGATATTTCAAAAAGATAAAAGAAAGTTCGGAAATGTACGAAAACTAGGAATGCCGCTTAATTTTTTTCCAGGTGCACTTTTGTTGAAATACAATAATTCCAATTCATAACATGATCTTCAAATCCAACATTCGTATTTTGCAGTATTGGGAAAGTCGTGCTTTCCCATATATAGTTCAAATAAGAAACCGCGTTTCTCCACCTAGCCTCATAAGGAAAAGAAAAACCTTCCGATATGTGACATCTGGTCTTGGAAAGCACATGTTCTTGTGATATAATTTAACGTCAGACTGTCCATTCACTTTGTCCAGCCAAAGGAAGTTCTAAGCACTTCCGGTCTGATGATGTTACCCCTCTATTCGGGAGTACAACAACTACATGTGTCACTCACAAGATGAACCAATACGTCACATCGTCAATTGTTTTAACACCTTCAGTTTGTAAAACAGAAAAAAATCGATATATTCCCATATAATGAAGCACTTTTATAAAGATGGTACCTTGCATTAATTGTCTGACAAAACATATGAGTTTTTGTTTTTGATAGAGTGACATTTACTTGATGATCTAATGTCATGTTTTGCGACTAGGGCAATAAGGTATTTGACTACCCTTACCATTGCTTCCTCTGTTTGATCAGGGGAGTTAGTGAAGGAAACTACACAAATTCATTAAAACTTTCCTTTGGTTGGGTGTTGGTTGGTTGACATTTTGAATTAATAAAGTAGACAAAATGTATGGAAAACAACTTCTTTAATTACTGTAAAGGAGACATTTCGGAATAGACCCTTATACAGTTGTCATGCAAGACTGTAAGATTAAGATGGTACAGAATATATATAGTAGGTGGAGGATTAACAGTAGCAACAAATGCATCCATGAGTGGGGATAACATGAGCAGGTTAAGTAATGACAACAGAAGGATAACATACTATAACAACTTGATGGACAGAGAACAAATGCATCCATGAGTGGGGATAACATGAGTAGGTTAAGTAATGACAACAGAAGGATAACATACTATAACAACTTGATAGACAGAGAACAGACGAGGTGAAAGCCCGTCAGTCAGGAAGCTAATTAAACAGGATAGGTTTACATGGAAATGGTGATTATTGCTCAGTGAGTTTATAGTAGGCGGATAGGATGAAATAGCCTGGATCTCTGTTGATTGGTTGCTTGTGGCGGCGAATGTGGACTGCTTCAGTTAGTTTTCTTTTGATGAAATCATTGAGGTTGTCCCAGTTGATGTTGTGATTGAGGCAGTTGCTGATATGGTCCAAGATGGCTGATTTACTGTCTGATTTGATGGTTGAAGCTTTGTGCTCTTTGATTCCGGTGTTCATGGGGCGGAATGTTTTACCACAGTTGCACCACACCAATGCTTGTCCACAGTCAAATCTATAAACTACATATTCAGGTTCTTGGCGTTTGGTTGCGTTTCTGCCGTTGGCTCTTAGTATTTATCCATAAATTGTGTCTACTTTATCACCCGTCAACTTCAAAGTAATGCCTATCAAATAATTCAATTTGAATTATTGATTCAAAACTGGTGACAACTTTTTTACTAATTTTTAGAAAGAGTGCATCGTTACTTCGTGTACGGTCGAATTACAACGAATGCTGTGTCGTCGTCAAAGCTTTGAAGACGGAAAAGAGGGAGACTTCGAAAGAGGAAAAAGCTTCATATATTTCCACTCTCGATTATTCTCAAGATAAAAAGTAAAGTACAAAATCTATTTATGAATGGGAAATTCGTATATTGCTTGTCAGAGCAGAATGAATAATGGTCATGCGGGCAAAAGTATTTTAGGCCCGCCTTGAGACGGGAAACACACAAAACATAACAGACGGCCTATTTGTCAGTGTCCAAACATACATTGACAATGATCTACATGAATCCAATGCCAATCGTTCTCAAATAAAACCTGATCAGCGAACACTTTAAGAACTTGATTATCCTCTTCACGTGATGGAGACAACAATCTTAGCAACATTGTCAAGGTATCATTTCTGTTTTCATTCACCAGTCTCCATCGTCATCATCGCAAACGGCCAGAAATTCAGGACGAGAAAGCACCTTCTTCCAGAGATCTGGTTGCGTAATGAACTCCTCAAAACTGTCAAGCAAACTCTTAAGAGGTATCCCGATCTCTGCTATATCATGCATGATGGCCGTGGCATCATTTAGTACCTCTGCTCGTCCCGACACTTTACCCAGACGAGTCATCACCTTCCTCAACGCTGTTAAGGATCGATTTTGCTCGTTAATGTCCTTCCTGTATGTAGAAATATTCTTCTGAGTCAATTTCATTTCTTCTTCCATTTTAATCTTTTCTATTTCACGTCTCTTGATATCACCTTGAGCATTTTCACGAGCTTTTGCCATCTCACATACAGTGTCTTCAGCACTGGATAAAGCTGATTTGGCAGAGTCAAGGCGATATTCTGCATTATCAACATGTTGTTTGAGTGTCGTCTCAGAAACTTCCAAGAGTGTGGATCCGACAAAAGGTATCCAACTCGTCGCCTTTCCTGCCACCCGAACTGCTTCTCTAGTTACACTGGCCAGTTCGTACTCCCTTGTTGCCTTTGCGACACTTTTCTTCGATTCCTCCACATCCTTTTGAGCACTTTCAACCTTCTTTCTCAGTTCCTTGAGTGTTTTTGATAATGTCTCCAGTGAATCGTTCAAGCCTGCCAGAGATTTAAGAATTTCTTGGTGTCTTCTATGCATGTTTGATAGTTCTGCTTCCTCTTCCCGACACTTTTTGGTTTGATGACGGATATGGTTTTCTAACTCACATTCAGCCTGTGAGAAAGCTGCACTAGCATTTTCTATGTTTCGTTTGACATTGTAATATCTAAACTGCAATGCAGCAATTAGTTGGTCAATGAATTGGATACCAGTCTTGAACTGGGTCACCTGTAATCCAGCCATTAGTTTGTCAATGAACTCGAGACCCATCTGGAACTGCGACACGACCAAACTGGGCACTTGTCGCTCACATCCTCCAAACGATACCATCGCCATCTTCTAAAAAGGAGGAGCTGAATGAATTTTCAGTTGTTGTTTGCCTTCCCCTACATTCGTCCACCCTTCCCCTACATTCGCCCACCCTTCCCCTACATTCGTCCATCCCTCCCCTACATTCGTCCACCCTTCCCCTACATTCGCCCACCCTTCCCCTACATTCGTCCATCCCTCCCCTACATTCGTCCACCCTTCCCCTACATTCGCCCACCCTTCCCCTACATTCGTCCATCCCTCCCCTACATTCGTCCACCCTTCCCCTACATTCGCCCACCCTTCCCCTACATTCGCCCACCCTTCCCCTACATTCGCCCACCCTTCCCCTACATTCGTCCACCTTTCCCCTACATTCGTCCACCCCTCCCCTACATTCGTCCATCCCTCCCCTACATTCGTCCACCCTTCCCCTACATGTACATTCGTCCACCCTTCCCCTACATTCGTCCACCCCTCCCCTCCATTCGTAATTCCCTCCCCTACATTCGTCCACCCTTCCCCTACATTCGTCCACCCTTCCCCTACATTCGCCCACCCTTCCCCTACATTCGCCCACCCTTCCCTTACATTCGTCCACCCTTCCCCTACATTCGTCCACCCTTCCCCTACATTCGTCCACCCCTCCCCTACATTCGTCCATCCCTCCCCTACATTCGTCCACCCTTCCCCTACATTCGTCCACCCCTCCCCTACATTCGTCCATCCCTCCCCTACATTCGTCCACCCTTCCCCTACATTCGCCCACCCTTCCCCTACATTCGCCCACCCTTCCCCTACATTCGCCCACCCTTCCCCTACATTCGCCCACCCTTCCCCTACATTCGTCCACCCTTCCCCTACATTCGTCCACCCTTCCCCTACATTCGTCCACCCCTCCCCTACATTCGTCCATCCCTCCCCTACATTCGTCCACCCTTCCCCTACATGTACATTCGTCCACCCTTCCCCTACATTCGTCCACCCCTCCCCTCCATTCGTAATTCCCTCCCCTACATTCGTCCACCCCTCCCCTCCATTCGTAATTCCCTCCCCTACATTCGTCCACCCTTCCCCTACATTCGCCTACCCTTCCCCTACATTCGCCCACCCTTCCCCTACATTCGCCCACCCTTCCCCTACATTCGTCCACCCTTCCCCTACATTCGTCCACCCTTCCCCTACATTCGTCCACCCCTCCCCTACATTCGTCCATCCCTCCCCTACATTCGTCCACCCTTCCCCTACATGTACATTCGTCCACCCTTCCCCTACATTCGTCCACCCCTCCCCTCCATTCGTAATTCCCTCCCCTACATTCGTCCACCCTTCCCCTACATTCGTCCACCGTTCCCCTACATTCGTCCACCCCTCCCCTACATTCGTCCACCCCTCCCCTACATTCGTCCACCCTTCCCCTACATTCGTCCACCCTTCCCCTACATTCGTCCACCCCTCCCCTCCATTCGTGATTCCCTCCCCTACATTCGTCCACCCCTCCCCTACCCATCCCACCAACACACACACAACCCCCAACCCAAACACCCACCCACCCACCCACCCACCACCACACCCACACACACACCCACCACCACACCCACACCCACCACCCACACCAACACCCACCACCACACCCACCACCCACCAACACACCCACACACCCACACACCCACACACCCTCACACCCACACCAACACACACACACACACACACACACACACACACACACACACACACACACACACCTACCAACCACCCCCCCACACACACACACCCAGGGTGTGTGTATGTAGAGGCGGGGTATATATATGTAGAGGCAGGGTGTGTGTATGCAGAGGCAGGGTGTATGTATGTAGAGGTAGGGTATATGTATGTAGAGGCAGGGTGTATGTATGTAGAGGCAGGGCATGTGTATGTAGAGGCAGGTTCAATGTATGTAGAGGCAGGGTGTATGTATGTAAAGGCAGGGTATATGTATATTGGGCCAGGGTATACGTATGTAGATGCAGGGTGTGTGTATGTAGAGGCAGGGTGTATGTATGTAGAGGTATGGTGTATGTTTGTAGAGGTAGGGTATATGTATGTAGATGCAGGGTGTATGTATGGAGAGGCAGGGTGTATGTATGGAGAGGCAGGGTGTATGTATGGAGAGGCAGGGTGTATGTATTGAGAGGCAGATTGTGTGTATGTAAAGGCAGGGTATATGTATATTGGGCCAGGGTATATGTATGTAGATGCAGGGTGTGTATGTAGAGGCAGATTCTATGTATGTAGAGGCAGGGTGTATGTATGTAGAGGCATGGTATATGTATGTAGAGGCAAGGTATATGTATGTAGGGACAGGGTATATGTATGTAGAGGCAGGGTGTATGTATGTAGGGACAGGGTGTATGTATGTAGAGGAAGGGTATATGTATGTAGAGGCAGGGTGTATGTATGTGGAGGCAGGGTATATGTATGTAGAGGCAGGGTATATGTATGTAGAGGCAGGGTGTATGTATGGAGAGGCAGAGTGTGTGTATGTAAAGGCAGGGTATATGTATATTGGGCCAGGGTATATGTATGTAGAGGCAGGGTGTATGTATGTAGGGACAGGGTGTATGTATGTAGAGGAAGGGTATATGTATGTAGAGGCAGGGTGTATGTATGTATTTAGAGGCAGGGTATATGTATGTAGAGGCAGGGTATATGTATGTAGAGGCATGGTATATGTATGTAGAGGCAGGGTATATGTACGTAGATGCAGGGTATATGCATGTAGAGGCAGGGTATATGTATGTAGAGGCAGGGTATATGTATGTAGAGGCAGGGTATATGTATATAAAGGCAGGTTGTATGTATGTAGAGGCAGGGTGTATGTATGTAGAGGCAGGGTATATGTATGTAGAGGCAGGGTGTATGTATGTAGAGGCAGGTTCTATGTATGTAGAGGCAGGGTGTGTATGTAGAGGGAGGGTGAGTGTATGTAGAAGCAGGGTATATGTATGTTGAGGCAGGGTGTATGTATGTAGAGGCAGGGTATATGTATGTAGAGGCAGGGTGTGTGTATGTAGAGGCAGGGTGTATGTATGGAGAGGCAGAGTGTGTGTATGTAAAGGCAGGGTATATGTATATTGGGCCAGGGTATATGTATGTAGAGGCAGGGTGTATGTATGTAGGGACAGGGTGTATGTATGTAGAGGAAGGGTATATGTATGTAGAGGCAGGGTGTATTTATGTATTTAGAGGCAGGGTATATGTATGTAGAGGCAGGGTATATGTATGTAGAGGCATGGTATATGTATGTAGAGGCAGGGTATATGTACGTAGATGCAGGGTATATGCATGTAGAGGCAGGGTATATGTATGTAGAGGCAGGGTGCATGTATGTAGAGGCAGGGTATATGTATATAAAGGCAGGTTGTATGTATGTAGAGGCAGGGTGTATGTATGTAGAGGTAGGGTATATGTATGTAGAGGCAGGGTGTATGTATGTAGAGGCAGGTTCTATGTATGTAGAGGCAGGGTGTGTATGTAGAGGGAGGGTGAGTGTATGTAGAAGCAGGGTATATGTATGTTGAGGCAGGGTGTATGTATGTAGAGGCAGGGTATATGTATGTAGAGGCAGGGTGTGTGTATGTAGAGGCAGGGTGTATGTATGGAGAGGCAGAGTGTGTGTATGTAAAGGCAGGGTATATGTATATTGGGCCAGGGTATATGTATGTAGAGGCAGGGTGTATGTATGTAGGGACAGGGTGTATGTATGTAGAGGAAGGGTATATGTATGTAGAGGCAGGGTGTATTTATGTATTTAGAGGCAGGGTATATGTATGTAGAGGCAGGGTATATGTATGTAGAGGCATGGTATATGTATGTAGAGGCAGGGTATATGTACGTAGATGCAGGGTATATGTATGTAGAGGCAGGGTATATGTATGTAGAGGCAGGGTGCATGTATGTAGAGGCAGGGTATATGTATATAAAGGCAGGTTGTATGTATGTAGAGGCAGGGTGTATGTATGTAGAGGTAGGGTATATGTATGTAGAGGCAGGGTGTATGTATGTAGAGGCAGGTTCTATGTATGTAGAGGCAGGGTGTGTATGTAGAGGGAGGGTGAGTGTATGTAGAAGCAGGGTATATGTATGTTGAGGCAGGGTGTATGTATGTAGAGGCAGGGTATATGTATGTAGAGGCAGGGTGTGTGTATGTAGAGGCAGGGTATATATATGTAGAGGCAGGGTATGAGTATGTCGAGGCAGGGTGTATGTATGTAGAGGAAGGGTATATGTATGTAGAGGCAGGGTATGAGTATGTGGAGGCAGGGTATATGTATGTAGATGCAGGGTATATGTATGTAGATGCAGGGTATATATATGTAGATGCAGGGTATATGTATGTATAAGCAGGGTATATGTATATAGAGGCAGGGTCTATGTATGTGAGGCAGGGTATATGTATGTAGACGCAGGGTATGAGTATGTGGAGGCAGGGTATATGTATGTAGAGGCAGGGTATATGTATGTAGAGGCAGGGTATATGTTGTAGAGGCAGGGTATATGTATGTGAGGCAGGGTGTATGTATGTAGAGGCAGGGTATATGTATATAGGGGCAGGGTTTACGCAAATAAAATAACTATTTGGTAGCGAGTGAGTGTACTTACGGTCTGTTGTGAAGCGAGGAATATGAGAAATGTCACGTGAAACACATTCGAGTATTTTATATAAGACTCCGCTACGATTTCCTGGAAATCCAGATCTCAAACAAGCGACTGGTTTTCCCACATTCAACAATTCTCGGGGAATGAGCCATCGCCCAAAAACAGCTATTTATAGAAGAGGCCAACAGCCAGGGCTCTCTGTGGCTGCTGGAGTACTCTGTCGCCCAGACCCTTGAGATAAAGGTCAGTAAACCACTTGTGGACCATTAACATTAGGAGATAACATGTGAATTCAAAGTAGGCAGGATTTATCGAGAATTCTGAACTTACTGCCCTTGACAGGCAGATTACAAAGAATCATTATGTTTTTTTGAAAATTGGGATAATTACAGTCCGAGTTATGTTCAAATCAAGACGTGTTTAAACATTCCATGCAATAATGTGTGATACGTTATTGAACCCTTCAGACTTCTGCAGCTCTCCCAGTTATCAGTGAAATACAAAACCCCATTGTAAACGTGCTTGTGATGCAGACGGGACACTGACGTGATTATTGTCAGGTTTTGTCGTTTTTATTAATGTATTATTCTCAAACCATAACATTAATTATCACCACAATAACAAGCATTCGGGTGTGTTTAATTCCATTTTGGAATTTGAACTGACATTTGCTGCAGATTTTTGGGCCGAATATCTTTTTGTTTGTTTGTTGTTTCGCCTCTTACTACAATTAGACCATAGCTCCTTTGTTATAAACGTGGTCTAACCAACGTCATTTTCAGTTAGACCACGGACGGAACTACTTTTTCCAAGCAAAGTAGCTCCAGTCGTGTGAGGAAATTTCTGACTGGATGCATATTCTACTTCTAGCCATACAGGTAGTATTTAAGAGACTACAACTGACCAGAAATAGAATAAGAAAAGAACAAGGTCATAGATAAACTGAATCTCTTCATATTCACTTAAACTTACAGTTGATCTCACAGGGCGACACGGAATAGGCGATCCCTTGAAGTTAATAACCATGTCACGTGATGTTGATGTTGAACTCCACCTTGACAGGTCGAGAACCTCTGACATCCATCGCCGCATGCTTTGCCATTTCTGTGGATGGCGAAGTTGCAGTACTTGCAATTGTACGCTTGCGCAGACCCTGTACAATCTTGCTTACGTAATCCTCCTGCTAGTCACTCTTGTATGACCTGATAGCAAAACGGACTGGGCATCGCAGTAACGCTATCAACTGCTCGTCAACACCTGACTGGTAGAGGCGTGTAGCACACAAAGAGTGGTTAGTGTAAAAACCTACAAAATAAACAGCTTTTTTTTATTTTAGGTTAGAGGGATTACGAAGTAAACAAACGTTAAAATGTAAGTAATTGATGAATCCGATTACGCGCTTGATTTGGTAATCAAATATGACGCCACAACTTAAAAAATAAACTTTCTCCAGAATCTATTCAGTTGATGTTAATGGTCTCAAATGATTTCCTGTGCGATAAGAAACGACTTTATGATATAAACAGAATCATGCCGCCACCACGCTCATGTCACTGATCTAAATTATACTGTAAAATGATTTAAGCAAATCCACAAACATTTGAAAATCATACATTTTGATTTACGGTTTGGAAACTATTACTGAAACATTATGTACAATGTACTCACAAGTAAATCCAGCAGCGGCACACAATCGACTCACTGTCTTCGCTACAGTATTTTGACCAATGGGACTGCAGGGGTACCACGTTTCCTGCCGGGGCTTCACTAATGGACGCAAGTAGAAGGCATCTAGGGCGTCCGAAGGTCGTAGACTCAATACACTTGTTAGGGTCAGTACTAGTGTATGCAGTAACACACTTAGGTGGAACTCTACACCTTTCAGTCCTCGTTGATTACATTTACTGATGCATTCGGCGTAACGTTAATAATCTCCTTGATCAATCATTCGATCCAAATTCGAACTGGTGGACACTCTACATTCTATGTTGATAGCCCGACCGCAGTGCAAAATTTAATTCAACCAAATACACCATCGTACAAGTGTGCTTAAGGGCATGTTGATCCGAGAAATCCCTTTTCTCACAGAATCATGTTCTTGTTGCACGGTAATGACGCTAGCTTGGCGTGAGCGCAATGCCTTTCCCTTGCTTGCCCTGTCTCATAATATTGTCCAATGTCACTCGAACCTCTGTATACACTGTTTCGGAAAGAAACTGGACATCACGATTGTTGTTGTTGAAGTGCATTTGTATGAGTAAAACAAGTTGACAAACAGTCTTTGGTGGATAATCCGTACCATCCTGCTTCCGAACCTCGAGGATAAACCGACAGGTACAATAATTCAGTTCGTCGTCATTCGAATCCAATAGTTTACCGTATCGGTCTCAAAATCACTGATATCACTGTACTGGGGCAAGGAAGTGGATTTCCTTTCGTCGGAACTACTCATGTTGCTGCTTCCAAGGCAAATTGCTTCCCCAACTGACCATGTGGTTTCGAACTGCGCATGTCTTCGCCGAGACACTGCACGTGCAGCGTGTGATTCCCATTCGCACAGCATGTGCGAGCTTCATAACTCTTCTGCACAGAGACAGTTTCAACTGATGTGTGCGTTTTGCCACAATATAGTTCTCGAGCAAATTATAAATAAAGCATTAGTTGATTAAATAACTTGTCAACTCGCGCTCGTGGTCGAACTAACCATTTCAACGATTAGACAACAGGTCCTCATGATCTAACTATTCCGAAGACTGCCTCCGTGGACTAGCGGTAGAGCGTCCCCCCGGAGAGCGGAAGGTCCGGGGTTCGATCCCCGGCCGCGTCATACCAAAAAGCCGTTAAAAGGTACTTGTTGTTACCCTGTCTGGCGCTTGGCATTAAGGGGCTAAAACAAGGACTGGTCGGCTCGAAGTCAGTATACTGTCTCTGATAAGGGTGTTCATGTTAAACTACGGCATGGTATCTCAGTGAGCTGGCATTAAAAATCGGCATCAGTCCGGCAAGTACGAGCAGCCACACACTCACACATTCACACACACACACACAAACAAACACGCACGCACGCACGCACGCACGCACGCACGCGCGCACGCCGCTATACTCTTTGACGCGACGACAAACCCCATTTCACCTTACCTACTAGAAGCATGGGATGCTGAAGATCAATTCTAACCCGGATCTTCACGGGGTACCGAATATCGGAGCAGGTCCAGATAAATCCCCGTTTTTGGTGGTATTTAGTGGCAAATGGAAATGGAACGGTTAAGTTGTGTCGAAGATGTCACTAAAACTCTAGTATGTTAAATACCAGGCATTGAACAGTGATAGGCATGCGTCGAGAGAGCAGTGATGACTTTGTCCTCAGTTAACCGCTAGGAATCCTTGGTAGGCGAGTCTAAGGTCTGTTCAAGATTATTGCACTTATATAACACCGTGCCTCCGTGTTTGAGTGTGTGTGTACGTGTGTGTTTGAGTGTGTGTGTTTGAGTGTGTTTGAGTGTGTGTGTTTGAGTGTGTGTGTGTGTGTGTGTGTGTGTGTGTGTGTGTGTGTGTGTGTGTGTGTGTGTGTGTGTGTGTGTGTGTGTGTGTGTGTGTGTGTGTGTGTGTGTGTGTGTGTGTGTGTGTGTGTGTAAGTTTGGGTGTGTCTGCTTGTACTACTCCTGGTCTTATGGTTCTAGCCTAGACTAATATTTAGTCCCAGAAATAGGGTTCTCCTATTTTAAAAACCTCTATCTTCTAAACATAAAAGTCCAAACAGAGAACAGATTCATCCTTTATTCATCATTCTAGACTTGAGTTGGACTCCTCTTTTGCTTAATTCTCCAAGGTCTGCGAGACAGACTAGGTTCTAGCACAGTGAGATACCATGCTGCGATTCAAAATGGATACCCCACTCGGACACAGTTTTATCCCCTCAATGCCGAGCACCAGGCAGGATAACAACAAGTACCATATTTTAACGTCTTTTAGAAAGACGCGAATGGGGATCGAACCACTGACCTTCCGCTCCCCGGGTAGGCGCTTTATCCACTAGAACGGGAACATGTCTGGCTGAGGACCCTTTACAAGAAGTCGACAAGCTGTTAAACATCTGAAATACAAAGCCTTAACAAAATGGAAACACGTGTAATTCACATATTTCTTTGTGAAAACATGTAGGGGACCCACTAAATATCTGTCCTCTTAGGTGATGCAATTAGCTGTGCAGAGTTGCGTCCCTTAGGTGTGCCTGAAACATACGGTCGTGAGTTCGAATCCCTGTTCGCCCTTAATCTGTTACTACCTTTGTCAGCACCAAACCCTACGGATGCCTTTTAGTGACATTTGTTTTTTTATTTATTTATCTATTTATCTTGTAGTTTCAAGATAATGGTGAATTTGAAGGTAATAACTTGAAATTTGAAGATACATAAGTTGGAATTTCAAGATACTTAGTTGAGATTTCAAGTTAGTATCTTGAAATTGTAACATAACATATTGAGTGAGTGAGTTTGATTTTACGCCGCTTTTAGCAATATTCCAGCAATATGACGGCGGGGGACACCCGAAATGGGCTTCACACATTGTACCCATGTCGGGAATCGAACCCTGGTCTTCGGCGTGACGAGCGAACGCTTTAACCACTAGGCTACCCGACCGCCCCCACATAACATATTGAAATTTCAAGATACTAACTAAATAGATAAAAAACAAATGGCCCTAAAAGCCTTCCGTAAAACCCTGTTCGTAGATTTCATCAAAGTGGTAAACGTCTACTACGACCTGTGTCACTTCGGACTTTCCTCCCACATCAAGCAGACACGCCGTGATATAATATATCCCACACGTTAATCATAGTGAACAGCTGGAACAAGTCATTACAATCAAATCTAGGAATCTGAGAACTTAACACCAATGCTCTATACTAGCAAGACCATTCCTTCCAGATGACACAGGTGGTCCAACGATATCTCCAAGTCTTGCCAGAAGCCCATGACCATGGGTTCGAGTCCGAGATTCGCCATGGGTATGATTCTTGGTTTGTCAACATCAACTCGTGCTCTTGGGTTTCACCAAAGTGGTAAGCATCAATGATCTTCGTCACTTCGGGCTTTTTTCAACATTAAGCTGGGGCGGTTGGGTAGTCTAGTGGTAATAGCGTTCGCTCGTCACGCTGAAGGGGATGTCGGGTAGCCTAGTGGTTAAAGCGTTCGCTCGTCACGCCGAACATCCCGGATCGATTCCCGACATGGGTACAATGTGTGAACCTCATTTCTGGAGGCCCCCACCGTGATATTGCTGGAATATTGCTAAAAGCGGCGTATTGTCCCCCGCCGTGATATTGCTGGATTATTGCTAAAAGCGGCGTAAAACCATACTCACACACTCATTAGGAATCTGAAACGAGGTGGGCAGCATGATTTAAAAATGACAGAAAGTCTCACCCCATTGTGTTTCACGCCTTCTGACATCTGATAAAAAATGCATCAGGCACATGTCTCGTGATAATCTAGCTCTGTTTGATGCTGAATCAGAAAGGTTCTTGCAATGATTTGTAACTATGAATGAAACCTGGGTTCACCATTGGCCAAACAACAATGAAAATGTTGGAAGCATTTTACATCACCAGCATCAAAGAACTTCGCATGAGCGGGAAATGTTATGGCCTTTGTGGATGCTGAGGGTGTCACCACTGTGGATGCTGAGAGTTTCATCACGGTGGACGCTGAGGGTTTCTTAACGGTGGACACTAAGGGTTTCATCATGGTGGACGCTGAGGGTTTCATCACGGTGGACACTGAGGGTTTCATCATGGTGGACGCTGAGGGTTTCATCACGGTGGACGCTGAGGGTTTCATCATGGTGGACGCTGAGGGTTTCATCACGGTGGACGCTGAGGGTTTCATCATGGTGGACACTGAGGGTTTCATCACGGTGGACGCTGAGGGTTTCTTAACGGTGGATGCTGAGGGATTCATCCCGGTGGATGCTGAGGGTTTCATCACGGTGGACGCTGAGGGTTTCATCACGGTGGACGCTCAGGGTTTCTTAACGGTGGACGCTGAGGGTTTCTTAACGGTGGATGCTGATGGTTTCATCACGGTGGATTGTGATTGATAGCATGAGCATCGATCCATGCAATTGGGATCGATGACATGGTTCAATCAAGTCAGCGAGCCTGACCACCCTATCC